AAGTCTCTTGGATCTTTAGTGCTTTTCATTTGATGAAATCTGAGCTCCTTGTTTGTGCCTGCAGCAGGTCTCTTGCCAGCGCTGGCTCCCGTGACTCATCGGGCCTCTCCTGGTGCTCTTGGTGCGAAGAGTCTGTTCTGTTCCCTTGCTGTGAACGAGTTTGGGGCTGCTGGGGAGTGCAGCTCAGTGACGATGGGTCTGCTGTACAGTGATAGCACTGCTGTACTGCATGTACCTGAGAATTTTCCTAAGCTCAGGCAGGAATATGAAATCTGAACCTCAGTCTTCGGAGCAAAGATTCATTGCTTTCTAAATTTCTAATTGTCTGTGAAATACTACCTGTGCCCATGCGTGAAAATCAAAAGTGCAGCTTCAACTGCACTTGGACACATTTAGGGTAAAACCAGTGTAAATCCCTTGAGTTGACAGTGAAATAATATGCCAAGGAGCAGGAGGCATTTCAGGGACGCTTAGTGCATCTAACATGTTTAGCCTGCCTAAGTGGAAGAATCTATCCATTGGGACGAACTTTCACATTTATAAGACTTGCACTTGCTTGTATCTAGTATTTTGAAGAACTCTCTCTGCTTAGTTTTTTGCGAGCATAAATAGCTGCCACATAGCAGCAGCAGGAGAAGCTAAGGTGATGCTGAGAGACCTGACTCCACACACAGCCCCCCTGCCTCGTTCAGGGTCATTCTCAGTTACACAGAGGGTAACTGGATTAAATGTAAGAACTTCTCTAAAAGAAACCTTCTTTACAAATCCTTTTACACAAGATGATACCCTCAGTCTAAATAATGTTCAGGCAGAAAGCAAGGCATAATGCTAATGAGTTCAAGGGCTTAAATCTTTCAACAGTCAGACCTTCAAGAGCATCTGTTGACCTTTCCTAGGTAGTCTCTTTTGCTGATGAAAAGTAGATGCGGTCAGCTCTATTACAGGTGTGAGTGACTCGCTACCAATTCATTTTAGCTTCTGGTTAGACTTACTGTTTAGATTTTTCTCTGCAGAAGCTGTTGCCTGTATGCAAATTTAATTGTGGGCTGCATTGTAGTAAGAGTTAGGGCCTTGCTGGCTACTTTATTTATAGAGCCTGATGCTGCTGCTGAGCCCTTCTAACCTGTGAGCTTGTATCAGGTTTGCTGCAGCATTCTCTGAGAAGGTTGTTTAGCAGTGAAGGAAGAGGATGTGCTTGGTCTGTTTGAAACAGCAGTCAGTTCCTTCTGGTACCTGTTTGCCCCACTCCAGGTTTGTGCTGTCTTCAGAATGACTTCTCCAAGATGAGCTGGGACATCTGCTTCTGTCTGTGTAAATATGTAAGGTACAGTAACTGCGTTCCTTCCCCACCTGGCTTGCTTCATACTTGCTTTATCAGGATGCTACCCTAGAGGATGAGTAGCTGAGGGCTGAGCCTGCCTCTCCGGTGTGACAGGGATGATGGGAGTGCTGTTATGACGGGTTGTGGGATGTGTACACTGTGCCAGGAATAAAGAAGACAACAGAGCTAACTGCTACACTTAGAAAACAAGCATGCTGGTGAATTAACTTTGTAAAGAAAGCCCTGGCCTCTCAGCTTATCATGAGCATGC